CCTGCCTGGGGCTTCCTGGAATCAGCCGCTGATCAGTTTCAGCAGCAGCTGACTTGGGGATGCCTGGGGTTCTTAAGTTGAATCTGTATGTAAGTCAGAACTGGCGTCCAGATTCAGCCACTGTTGAAACTAATCCGTTTCAGCAGCGGCTGAATCTGGACACCAGTTCTGACTTACATACAGATTCTACTTAAGAACAAACCTATAGTCCCTATCTTGTACGTAACCCAGGGACTGCCTGTAGTGCCCCACTACAGGATATGAAGGTTTAACTGGTTAATTGGTAGGGCTGGACCAAACAAGGTAGGCCAGGGTGTCCAGCAGGCAGCAGCACAGGGTGGAGGAGAGCAAGCGACCCTTCCCTGCCCCCCACTGCCTCTGCTGGAAGTCCACATGCTTGTATTGGTTCCTGCCTGACCTCCTCACCCTCTGTGCTACTGCCTCTGTATCATCCTAGGTTTATTGGGTTAATCATGTAGTTGTCTACACGTTGACATCCGTACTAGCTCTGAAACTCACATAGCTGGAGTTGTGTATCTTGCATTGATGTTTCTCTGCCACTGTAGACTTGACCTGAGATCTGATTCATAGTGTGAAATGCTTCTCCTGGGCATGTGCAACTGTGACAATATGAATGCAGTGATACAGCAAGTTTTTCTGGGAGTGGCCCATTCCTTACTCCTTCAGGCTCCCAAGAAGATATTCTAAGTGCTGTGGAGAATGAACCTCTCTCAGCATAAAGAGAACAGGAGCCCAGAAACTATAACCCCTTCTCTCCTCCCAAGGAATGAGACTGTGAGCAGCTTTTTCTACTAACAATGAAAAAGTGACAGGCTTATTCATCTCTCAGTCTTCCTTCTCATTCCCTGTGAGCACCTTTCCTCTTCCCGGAGATACAATTTTGGACGGGGTGTCATGGTCCCTATCGGACAAGACTTGGCATCAGATCCACAGTCCCCTTTCTCCCGGTGTCAGGACATGAAGGGCTTACCTGTGTGACTTACCTTTCTGTCCCTCAGAGAAGTAGGGACAGGGATGCATGAGAAACCTATGTGTTTCCAGACTGAGGAAACTTAGGGGGCATATCTGTAGGTCCCCCTCCCCCATTAGTAAGGAGATGAGGGGACAGCTCTGCAGCCCCTTCAAAGGAGAGAACAGGGGAATCTGTAAATCCTCCCTCCAGCAGGCACAGGCAGACCCACATACCCAGGGAGGTGGGGGGTTAAGGCTGTGACAGACGAGTGGGGGGAGCTGCCAACACCCTCCCACTGTGGCCCGCCATGCCCAGGAGCAGCTCTCTGAGAATGGGAGGGCGGGGTCAAGCGGCTGCTGCTGGCCAGGGGCATGAGCCCATTGGGCGACGTTATCTTGAGGGCGGCTTCCCCCCCGTCTCCTACTGTCAGCCGACGGGTGTGTGTGTGTGTGTGTGTGTGTTTCCAAGAAAAGATTTAACGTCCATGTCTTTACTGCTAGGACCGGGGTCCCGTCGCATAGGGTAGCCAACAGACGCCCCTTTATAGGAAGAGCTTATTAAACCTTAGATTTTAGCTGCTAGAATCCATGATTCCTTCGCAGCGGGCAGCCTGGGGGAGCCTGAGAGGTGCCCCAACGGACCTGTCACCTGGGAGTGACACAGATCCAAACGCCCAAGCTCTTCCTATACCTGTCCCTTATGACCGGCTGAAGTTCTTTTAAATTGTGCCTGGTCCTGTTACAGCAACTGAAGGAGTCAGGTTAAAGCTTAAACAGTTACAGGTTTATTGAGGAAGCTTATAAATCATATGGTTGCAATGGCTATTATTCTATTTCTTAACTGCTAGAAAATATAGATCTTAAAAGTGGTTACAAAGAAGATAAAGATAGAAAATAGAAATAATGGTACCAAGTAACGGCTTAATCTTTCTATGTGTACACTTAAGACAGAGGACCACATCCAGGTACAATTTTTACCCCCTTCTGTGCCTCTTGACTCCAGCGTGTCAGGCCAGGGCCGGTCACTCAATTCCTAGGAAAGACGAAAATACGAGGTGGGCGTCCCCAGAGAACCTCGGGAGGTCAAACACCTAACCCGACCAGCAGGTAGATGGTAGATTGACACTCAAAGTTAGTGTGCTGCTGGATCTATCTTTATACCCATGGGGTAACGTATTTCTCTTTCTTATCTGTGATGCCAAATAGTGCTGGTCTGTCTTTTGTGAGACCAGTTCTTACAAGGGAGTTGTGAACTTAATTTACACTTGTAAGAGAGAGAACTAAATTGGAAGTACTGGGCATTCTTTTCTCAGTGGGAAATTCCTCTCTCAGGGACTGTGTGTTCGTATCGACATGGGTGCCAGCCGGGTACTTCTCGCAGCCTCGAGGCCAGCTTATTGCCTCAATCGCTCTCTCCTCATATCTATGTTTTCAGCTTCTCAGGATCAGATGAGCCAGCATAGACTATGCTGATTTTATTGCTCTTTCTCTGCCCTGTATGCTTCAGGAACCTCAGAGAGGCAAATAAGATGGATGATATGGGGGAGGGGGGGGGTTTGTCTGGCTACACCTCCCCTCCCCA